AGAGATTTTTCTTCGGATTTTCCGCTTTTCCAAAGCTTCTTCAATTAGGAAAACCGATTTTAAATATCAGGCTTTAAGTTTTTTCCATTTTGTACCAAAAATTGTCAGTTTTCCAATGGGGTAAGTGACTAAAACTTAAGTTTCATCAAGTAGGCTCTGGAATGTCCTTTTCAGAGGTTTTTCTTTGAATTTTCCGCTTTTCCTGTGCTTTTTCGGTCGGGAAAATCGATTTTAAGTACGAGGCTTTGAGTTTTCTTCATTTTCTAGCACAAATTTATATTTTTAAATGCAATAATTAGGATAATTTAAATGCTTTTTCTGGAAGTTTTGATGTGGCAACATCGTTTGTAGCCAACTTTAATCATGTGAATCTTGTAATAAATGTCATTTGTCAATTTGGAAAGTCGACCATTTTGAATGTTTTTATCCATGTTTTTCCTCGAAATTCCCGCTTTTCCAGGCCGTTTTAAAACGGAAAAAATGGTTCAAAGTACGAGGCTTTGACTTTCCTTCATTTTGTGCCAAAAATTTTCAGTTTTCCAATAGGGTAAGTAACAAAAACTCAAATTTCATCAAGTAGGCTTTAGAATGTCCTTTTCAAAGGACTTTCTTTGGATTTTCTGCTTTTCCGGGGCTTTTTGGATCGGGAAAACCGATTTTAAGTACGAGGCTTTGAGTTTTCTTCATTTTGTGCCAAAAATTTCCAGTTTTCTAATGGGGTAAGTGACAAAAACTCAAGTTTCATCAAGTAGGCTTTGGAATGTCCTTTTCAGAGGTTTTTCTTTGGATTTTCCGCTTTTCCAGGCCGGGAAAACCGATTTAAAGTACGAGGCTTTGAATTTCCTTCATTTTCAGCCAAAAATTTTCAGTTTTAAATTAAAATTAAGAACGCAAAAAAAAAATAATTAGTAAAAAACAACTTTTTAGGGAATTTATATATACTTATATATATTTTTTCAGGTGGCAACTTTGCTTTGTAGCCAACTTTACTCGGGTTCCAATCCAGTAGGTCTTGGAATGTTATATCTAAAGTGACATTTGAGAAAAAAGTATGGTCACCCCCACCCTATTATAGGCTGGTACATTTTTACTGAATTTGGTACAATTTGTCTTTAATTTTGATACAAAAAATTTTTGCTCTCTGGCAACACTGGTAGAAACCTATCAAACATCCATAACTATAGAAACTGTGACCGAGAAAACAAAAAGGTAACCTTAAAATAACGACGTTTCCGTGTTGAAATTTGTCATTTTTAACCGATTGGGCAGTCGTTTAAGAAGACTCGAACTCACAAAATCTAAAGAACAAGAAGAAGAAATTGTCATTTTTATTAAGGCACTCGGTATCGCGTACCTATAATATTATGTACAACTAGGATAAACTGAACCAGTAAGTATACATGTTAGTTTTGTGATATACGGCATATTTTTTTACTGTTTAAGGAGACCTCAGTCAGAAGAGATAAAATGTAGATGTTAGGCCTTGGCCAGCTTAGCTTGTACATACATTAAAGCATGTATAAGGGATAAGGGATGTAATAACTGTGTTTGTAAACTCTTTAGGTATTTGACCTATCTAGCTATAATATATATTTTTTCTAGTACAATTTAGTGTTTATTTTGCCTTTTTTTTTTAATCTACATCAAAAAATGGCACAAAACTTTATGGAGTACCACATCATTTTTCTCATTCGGATTTGAGAAAAAAAGATGTGGAACAACATAAGTAAGTTTTTTGTGCAATCAACTCAAGTCAAATTTCAAAATTCCCGCCATTTCAGTATTTGTTCCGGCTGCCACTATTGACGCCACCGTCGCTGTGACGTCAGCGCTATACAAACTTTCATGTTATCAATCAGGTACTCTTACCTTGGTTTATTATATTTCTCTATGCTTTTAGCTTATCAGATAACGGCTGGAGTGCGATCGGAGTAACTCGGAGTGAGCAACCCGAACCCAACTTGTGAATGGGTTCAGGTTCCTATTTTATCGCGAACAGTTTTGGAATCGAACAAAAACTCCAGAACCTTGCTCCAGACTGTCGAATACGTGAACGAATTGCGAATGTCATGTCTCAAACTTGAAGTTAGCTTAGCCTGGGACCGGTGGAATTTGTTCAGAATCGGTTCCGAATCGTTTCTGGTGAAAGCATGAAAATATAACGACAAAAACACATTTTTTTTTTGCACTGATTCTGCAAATGGAAATCGCTATGAATTTGATTCTGCTTGTCATATTTCTGAATTTGACAGCTGACACGTCGTCTGTTTCTGTTTACACTTTTTTCCCCGCACTCCGGCACCACACCGTTTCTTATTTTTGGTTATTTAAGGCGATTGCTTAAGGCCATGTTGATATTATTTCTTAGTGAGCATCTCCAACCTATTACCTACCTGTTTGCAAAATTGCATCTCGATTGGTTTAGTAGTTTTCGAGATTTCGTGTTTAATCAGTCAGTCAGTCAGTCAGTCAGTGAGTGAGTGAATTTCACGTTTATATACAGGGTGTATATTTTAAGTGATACCACTATTGCTATATCCGAAACGGTAAAAGCTACAAGGTCGGTTAAATTAGAAAAAAGTTGCCTTTTTTGATGCCCATTCAAGACTCATTTACAGTGTTGCCAAATTCCTTTTAGTTTATGAAATACAGGGTGATTTCTAAGAAACGCCTAAAAATATTCTATCAAATATTTCGAAAACTATTTATTTTCGGGACATAATTTAAATTTGAAATTTTTATAATGTTTTTCGCTCTACAACATGGCATCTTCAAATTTCGAATCCGACGTTTCGTGGTTAAACTACCATCATCAACTTCATTTTTTTAAATACGGACCTGGATTTTTTATGACACTTTAAGAAAGCACTCTTAATTCCCTTTTCAACGACATACCTCTTAAGTATTATTGGTCGACGTTTCTGATCTAGAAAGTGATCATCAGTGATTTTTACCAAAATTTTACCTTAATTCGGACCTAGTTATGAACCTATATTTCAGAAACTAAAAGAAATTTGGCAACAATGTAAACGAATCTTAAATGGGCATCAAAAAAGGCAACTTTTTTCTAATTTAACCGACCTTGTAGCTTTTACCGTTTCGGATATAGCAATAGTGGTTTCACTTAAAATATACACCCTGTATAGATTGTTAAATGAATAAGCGTACAGTGATTTTCATTATGGAGTTTACGAAAATACCAGAGACATTACGGCTGCATGTGCTAGAATAAATAATAGTTATGTAAACTTTGTTTCACCAGGGTTCATACTTTTGCCTTTTTTTTTTAACAAATAGAAATTGACTGAAAGAAATCAATGACGTCAAAAACGTTCGTCGGTTCTTAAACCAGAAGTCATTCATAATTTGTCAAAAAAATTGAACGTGTCATAATATGAATAATTAATCTACAACAACCCTTTTTTTTTTCAAGTTTCGAGGTCAAGTATGAACCATGGTGAAAGGATCTGTATTTTTATACCATAAGGCCGCGAAATGCCTTGGTTATTTGAGGCCGAGGCAAGATAGTCTCGAGAATGCTGCAAAGTTTCGCGGTCATGATATACACACCACGTAAGGTGTGGCGGCCGCGAAATTGAATTTCGCGGACGGTTGCATGAAAAAAAATACATATTAAATAATACATATTCAAAAAAAAAAAAATTGTGAAAAATTGCAGATGATGCTTAAGGAATAATGGACTTCAATTTGAGTATATATTTACAATAATAATTAGTTTCTAAGTCATTATTTTCGATATTGTTCATAATGATGGTAGCTCGATCACGAAACGTCGGATTTGAAATTTGAAGATGCCATGTTGTAAAGCGATAAAAATTATAAAACTTTCAAATTTAAATTGTGTGCCGAAAATCAATAGTTTTCAAAATAATTGATGAAATAGTTTTAGGCGTTTCTTAGAAATCACCCTGTATTTCCTAAACTAAAAGGAATTCGGTAACACTGTAAACCAGTCTTGAATGGGCATCAAAAAAGGCAACTTTTTTCTAATTTAACCGACCTCGTATCTCTTACCGTTTCCGAGATGGCAGTAGTGGTATCACTTAAAACGGACACCCTGTAGATTGAATCGTGTTAACAAATAAAAGTCAACACAGGAGAGAGAATGTTAAGAAAATGAAGAGAAAATATCAAATACATATTAATTAATTTATTAATTTTACCTATTCATTGTTAACCTGTTTTTTAACAATAAAAAAGAAAAAAGGTGTTGTATTGTCAAAGTTAGTTCTGCGCTGGGGTTCTGCGTGTGTCAAAAAATCTCTCCAATCATCATCAAATTTCTTCAAATATACCATTTTCTTTAACATGACAATATTATTATACTAATATTGTCAACAAGCAAAGCTACTTAAGAAAATATGACCCTGTATATGATTGACCGACCTATTGATTGGCGAGTCAGAGATAAACGAAAATAAATAGTGGTCGGCAACACATGGATAGGCAGACTTAAACCAGCGCAATTACCTCTTTTGGGAAAGCTCCTCTGGCCTCAAGTCTCCACCTAGTGTAATTACCTCTTTTGGGGAAACCCCTCTGGACGGCCCTTAACTTTAGCGAATCGCTCCTAACGTAACTTTGTGTTTTTCAGGTAGCTCCCCTGTGCCCCATAGAAGAGGCACTATGTACCATAGGGCCATCCTTCGGTAATTACTAATTATTATAACCTTTACTCTACAATATACCTTAAACTAAATACCACGCAAGTCTCTATCCTCCTGACCCTACGCTATGTACCCTGTCACGACAGGATAAAGTTGTAACAATATTATTCATTTAACTCAAAGTCGCAGTTAAGGTTAAAGAGTTATTGGATTCAACATCTTTTACAATTTTCTTGGAGTTGTACCAAACATTTAGTCAATAAGGTTCTCGAAAAGTCAAAAATAAATATTTCACCTGTATTAAAAGAATCCAGAGTTTACTTTTAAATAATTGGACTAAATTCAAATAAAACTGTCTGTTCCAAACGTATTAATTTATTTAACAAATATAGTTACAACTGACATAGATAGAATTTTGTATTTTTCTTTTTTCGTTAGTCTTAATACATAAAAAATGCAAAAAGTCAACTTTTTCTCACTATAAAAATCGAACAAAACTTCAATCCAATTATTCAATAGTGTATAAATTAAGTCGAGTTTTAAGTATAATTATCATGCATGTATTATATTCTATCTCAAATAAATATTCATAACCAAAAATCAATTAACTTTTGGTTGAAAAAACTTTATTATGCATATGCGGGATATTCAATATTTTTCTCTCTATGTACAATTTACATCTTAAATATATCATGTCCCAGAAAAAAATGCACTGAAATCTAAAAAATGTAGAGTACTAAATGAGGATTGCTGCCTGTAGGCGACCCAAGCCTGCCATTTTCTAATTAATAGAACTTTTGACAAATAATATTGTTGCAAATGGGATCAGGTAGGTACCCAATTTTCTATTTTTTCTTCGTTAGATGTCTGACGTATAACCCTGAGATTAAGAATGAAATTGAAAATTAAACTAAACTGATACTTTCTAATCCATTCAAGGTTTTATTGTCGTTTCCACCAACTATTTTAGGTAAGCCTTAACGATAAGTTTTTCTCAAACTGACATTTCTCCATGGAAGACTTTCATTTTAAGGAATATTTATCATTAAGGCTTCCCTAAAATTGTTGGTGGAAACGGCCATTACCCATGCATCACCAGTGACCTAAAAAAGTTACAAAAACACTTGTGTAGAAGCATTCTTCTCACATCAGAATTGAGGGAGTTAAATGTTCTCAACAAAATATTTTAGTCCAAACGAAAGTACAACTAAATTTAAATCAATTTCACTCTTTATCACCAGAATTCTACTTTTTTGGGATTGAAAACTAAAATAAGATACTTGTGCATTCTTATCTGGAACACTCTGTATACATACCATGGGAAAATTTAACTAGTAACTTTGCTTTCCCATTTTGATCCAAAGAATTGTCAAAATAATATATAAAATATAAATACATACACCTTGATTCGTGAGCACTCAATCCAATAAGAACATTCAATTATTATTATAACTAGCACATTCCATCAGGTGGGGCAGAATCCTGAAAAAAATATGGAATAAAAAAAATTTGCCATCAAGACTACAAGTAAATAATTACCTTATTTTCCTTGGGAAGCGTGAAAGGAAAAAATGGATTGGTGACCTGCGGCTCTAAAGGAGGAATGGCGCCTAATTCATTGAAATGAGATAATTGTTCCGTCAGTTCAATAGTGCCTTGTTCTACTACAGTAAGTATAGTCCACATTGCATCTACAAAAATCATAATTTCAATTATTATCAGCAAAGCAGATAGACATATCTTTGACTCATTAAATTTAATAATGCCTAAAATTATATGATGTGCATAATAATTGTATTATTAGAAAGTCTTAGATGAAAATTATTATTTGTCGCATCTTACCACCAAAATATGAACCGGACGGTGTACACGCCCTCCATTTGCTCTGATAAATACCAGGTACAGTTGGACTATTCATCACAATAGCTACATGAATGCCGTGTCCAGGCTGCAAGGGGGGCAACTGTACTCTTTCACCTCCAAAACTATCACCATCGGAACATTGGATATAGCAACCGACCGGCCAGGTGTCATTGCCCGAGTTGCTTATGTGCCAAGACTTTTGGAAGCTACAACAATATTTATTATGAAAAATTTATAAATTTTTGTCGTTTGAAATTAGTCTACCGTGTATTTGGTTCGATATTTTCAGTCTCAGAAGTATCAGGGTCAGATAGCAGAGACATTGACGGAAGGACATTTGGAGTCTCGATGTCTAGATATGAGCAAATTGCAGCCTGTAAATTCCTAAAAACAGAGCCATTAGTTTTTAAAAATCAAAAATTCGAATCAAATTACCAATTATTCATGTCCAAAAAAAAGGCCGCAGTCGAATGATTAAGCTGCGTTGGGCTTCCCAGTAGTTTTTGTAGCTGTTGGATAAGCTCATCTTTGTCAGTAGTACCCATACAGCTGAATTGCTGTAAAAGGGACTGTTCTATGTCCAGAGAGGCATTCACGCCTCCTTCTACATTGTCAACGTCCATTCTGTTCAGGTGAATCTGAAAACGCATAGCATATAACTTTAGTGTAAGAAAATTTTAGATTTACACCTTGATTTAAACATTATTTTGTGACTGTGACTTGATTCTAAATTGCAGTAGACTTGTGTATTAGTGTTTCAACTAGTGTAATGTTATGTTACACTAATGGAATAAATAAATTTAATAATTATTATTTACCAAACAACAAAAAAACCATAGCTAACACAATATAGAGATTTTTATTGATTTATTTATTTTCTGCGATTGACAAGAAATGTCAGCATTTTTGACCGATTGACAGGTCTTAAAACTCAATATTCTAGTATTTTAATTATGTTTCAATAGTTGCTAAGGAATCAATAAATAACAATACGGGAATCACTTTTCCGGCCGAATCACTTTTCCGGCCTAGGCCGAGAAAGTGATTCTCGTACTGCTGAATAATTGGAACAAGAAGACAAACATTTAACAGATATTTTACCGAACGCAGAAAAAATTGTATGTGTATTTCAGTGAAAAAGCACATTCTCGCTTCGGTTTTTGCCGGCCCCGGTTTCCCCTCGTTCGTCAACTTACACCGTCGGCCGAGAATGTGTCACTTTTCCACCTAATATACTATTTACGTTAAGGCCAATTTACAATAACAATGAAAAAAGTATTCTAACATGATCGCACCATCGCACAGTGCAATGTTCTCAATGACATATCAGTAGTGGACCTAAATATAAAGCCCAAACATCTAAAAGCCCTCGACACAGTATTGGTTATATCGCCATTAAATGACATCTTGGAATTAAATTCCACTCCCAAATCTTGAATGCTTGCTACTTCCCTGATTGATATGTTATTAATTGTGTTAGGGAATTTCACTGTTTGATCTAGCCTGGAAAAAGTTATTTTATAACATTAGGCAATATCGATGTCCATTTTGTTCGAGCCACACCATTTATTAAAAAAATCGATATCATCTTGCAACAGTTGTGAGTCTTCCAACGATGATACCTGTCGATAAAGATCAAGATCTACAAATAATGACAAAAATGGGCTGTGTGCAATGGAACTACCCACATCGGATATGGAAAGATCGAACAGGATCGGCACGCAGTGAGACCCCGGGGGGACATCAAAGACATGAGGCACACAACACGCTATACCTAACTGCCCGAGTTCCTCCAACAAGAAAGTCAGCAAACCAACTCACAATCGGACCTCTCACACCAAATAACCAAGCTTCCTAATGAGCAGGCGATGGTTCACCCTGTCAAAGGCTTTAGAAAATTCCGAGTATATAGAATCAACCTAGAACCCCCTCTCCATGCTGTTCAAAATAAAATTCTGATACAAAACCAAATTTGTTGATGTACCCACTGTAAGTTATTGAACTAATGAGTAAGTTTCATAATTAATTGCTGCAGAACTTCCTACGCTTGTCCCGCAGAGGTTTATTGGTGATTCTTGTCTAGTTGGATAGGTCCTAACTTAACATCCAAGTGAGTAAGTATCGGCTGGCTGTCAACTTATGTGATCCAAGTTCTCATCCTTTATATCATAAGAGAAATAAGGAATAAAAACTCGTCAGGCAGCGATGAAATTCCTTTGACGGTTTTTGAAAGTCTTCCTGGGGCGGCACTTGTCAGCCTGGTAGAGACAATAAATTGTTCATTTCTGGCGGGGCTGTTTCCAGATTGTCTGAAGTTGGCGGTTGTTGTTCCCATTCACAAAAGCGGAGACACGGATCTCCCTTCTAACTTTCGCCCAACAGCACTGCTTCCAACTCTTTCAAAGATAATCGAAAGGTTAGTTAAGAAACGTTTACTAGGATTTCTTCTATCCCGTAAAGTACTTTCTGAACATCAGTTTGGATTTCGGGCTGACAGGAATACTGATGATGCTATTTTCTCTTTCTTGGAGAATTTGTACACCAAACTAAACAACGGAGAGGTCGCTGCAGCAGTGTTCTGCGACTTCTCTAAGGCGTTTGACTGTGTCAGTCACAGGACGCTATTGTCTAAGCTGGAGTGCTACGGGGTCAGGGGTGTTGCTCTGAATTGGTTAAGGTCATATCTCTCGGGTAGAAGGCAGCTGGTAAAATGCAGCGGGAACATATCTGACACATTGGAAATTGGTACAGGTGTTCCACAGGGGTCTGTTTTGGGCCCTCTTCTATTTTTGATATACATCAATGATTTGACTCGAACAGACGTACAAGCAAGATTTACAGTATTTGCAGATGATACTACTCTTTTGTGGAGTGGTAAAAATGAGAGGGAATTGATGACCGTGGTACAGAGCAACCTCAACAAGATAAAATTGTGGTGTGACTGTAATTCTTTATGTTTTAATGTGGATAAAACAAGCGTTCTGGGTTTTGGGTTTGATTCGGGAGATGTAGTTTTTCAAGATAGTGTGATACATCAAAGAGACTCTACAAGATTTTTGGGTGTAATCATTGACAAAAGGTTGAAGTTCACAGAGCACTTGGAGCATTTGTGTAAAAAATTATCTAGGGGGTGCTATGCTGTAAGAGTAGTGTCAAGGGAATTAGGACGGCATAATATAGCCTGGAGTGTATATTTCTCCTTGATTGAATTGAATCCCATCTTCGCTATGGGTTGGCCTTTTGGGGCTATTGTAATACAACATCTCTAAATGCGGTCCTAATAATACAGCGGGCCTTGCGATATATTTGCAATGCAAGGACGCGAGAACATTGTAAACCCCTTTTCATAAAGGAAAAGATCCTCACTGTGGACTGCTTATTTATATTGGAAACGGTCTGTTTGTTGCATAAAAGATTCAAAGGCCAGAGACGCAATTCTGCCTACGTTATGCGTAATGAGTTTTACTTACCTCTCAAAATTCCAAGGTCTGGTTTAACCAAGAACTCGGTAATATTTGAAGGTCTTAAAATATATAACCACCTGCCGTTGAATACAAGATCAATTCACTGCAGCAGAAATTTTAGAAAAACTGTTAAAAAAATGCTTTCTATTAGGCCATACATATAGCATAGGAGAATATCACTGTGATATATTAACATGATTGTTTCTTTGTAATATTTTGTTCTGTTTTTCTGGTTTTGTATTTAACATGAATATTTTTTTTTTGTTTTCTATTTTTTGTTTTTAATATTTTTATTTTTAATATGTATGTTGGTTTCGACCGTTGGTTTTTATTTTTATTATATTTGTAAAGAAAAACAAAAAAAAAAAGAGAAAGGAAAAAAAAATAAAAAATTATAGCTTATTTTGATTTAAATTTTTATATTAATAATAATTTGTAAGTGCTAGTGATGCTAGTTGACATCCGTTAACAATTTTCAATGTGTTACGTTTAATTGTTGTGGATCATTTTATTTTTATCCTCGTTATGGCGTAAGATGTTGAGGAAAACCGCCTATTTAAAATATTATTTTTTCAAATTTTAACTTTTAAAAATCGGTTACTGAATAAAACTAAATGTTGCAACCATGTCTGCGCCATCAAGTTTAGGTTTGAACGGAGCGCGCCATAGAAAAACGAAAGTACCGAAGCGAAGGGTAGATAAAGAATACAGAACTAGACGACAGAACGCTCTGGCCTGGTCCCTTAGAAAACGTGTTGCGTGTCTGTAATTATTCATTATTCAATTTACATTTCTATTTTGCATTAAAATTGATTGTTCTATCCAATTTGTTATTAGTGTGTGTGTAAGGAGAGTTCACAGGTTAGTGGATTTAATGTTATTTTGTTCAATTTATGCAAGTTCCTATTATTTTGTTCATTTTTATGTATTTTTGTTTATTTATAACATTTTTTATAACATGTGCATTGTTTATGTATTTACCCAAACTCGTTTCATACTGTAAACAACACAGATAAAGAAGTAAATTAAAGCCTAAGAAATTATGTGCTGTCTTTTTGTGCTGAGATTTTGATTTTTTGGATTTAGAGCGTGCATTAGAGTCTTGTTGAATTTACTAACATTTTCCTACCCTGACGAGAGAATATCCTAACAAATTGAAATAATCAATCTAGAGATATTGGCTCAAAAACAACTATAGCTGAGTAGCTTCCCGTATGCGACCTCAGTACCTGCTGGGAAACTGGCTAACTAACCAAAAACTCTTCAGTTTGAAATATAGGTAGTATTGATTGAATGTAGAGTGTGTAATTGAAATTTTAGCATAAGAACAAAGGATGGTACCTAATTTAAACTTTTATTGACTTAAATTGATATAATTATTATTAAAGTGACAAAGTATGTTTCGATTTTTGGGGAATGTTCGATCGAGGTTTTCTCTGCCGTTCTCTTTTCCCTCGAGCATTCTAGATCGAGAACGGTACGTTTTTCTTTGATAATAAAGGAGACGTTTCACAAATTTTTCGTTTCCTTCACATATCACAATTTCCCTTAAATCTCCCCAAATATTTGCTATGTCGAGCGCATGTCTAGTCTAGTAAGTAAAATTGAGTAAGTTTCCACAACGTAGGTCCTATTTGTTTTTCATTTCATTTTTCAGAAGATTTGTTGTTTAAAAGGTAATAAAAATTCTCATCGTTCAATCTTACTGAGCGAACCCGGGTATGTTATACTACAATGTATAATGAATTAGGATTAAGGCCTGCTTTGTCTACAACAATAATAATTGTTTTTTGACAATAAAGCTTATTTAATTTGATTTGATTGAAGATCCAAGTGCATTTGGACCGTGTCAACCTGGCTTTGATAGTTGATAAGATCCAAGTATCATCCAAGTGAGGCGCGCACAGCGTCCAACGGTAAATACTTGACCCAACTAAACTTGGACCAAGTGTGCTTAGATGACAACTTGGACCAAGTAAGTTGGCAACCAGAACTGAGACTTGGTAACAGATAGGGATCGTTATCGCGATCGCACTCGCTGTCTTCGTCTCTCTTATCGCAATCAATAGAGAGGTGACGCGAATAGAAATGGAGCTATCGATCGGTATTCGTTACAAAGTCTCAGCTCAGCCTACTTACTTGGATGTTAGAACCCATCCAATTGGACTTGGATG